GTTTTAGATTCTAAGTAATCTTAAATTTTTTTAATATATAATTAAAAGATAAACTTGCTATAATTTATTATATATTTATAAAATTAATTTAGTAAAAAAATTTTTTAAAATATTAAAGTAAATAAAAGAAAATTTATAGTAAATAAGTAGGCAAATTTGCTTGCAAAACCCTATAATTTTAGGGATAGATTTAAAGAAAAATAAATTATATATGAAAAAAAATTAAGTTTTAAAAATAAAAATTATTGATTAATTAGTGATTAGTAATAAATTCTACCTTTTATCAGAAAAGATATAAGATATCTATATAAAATACATCAATAAGAAATATAGTAAAGAAAATAAAAATATAAAAAAATTAACTATCTAAAATATAATTATAATAGTAAATATTAGTAAAATAAATCACAGGTTATAATTAACATAATAATCAGATATCACTATCAGTCTATTACTAATAACATAAGCTTTATATATTTTATTATTTTGTTATTTTTATTAATATATAAGACTTTGTAATAAAAAAAAAAAAAATTATCAGAAAAATAAAAAATGAATTATGTTAAATTTGAACATATTTTAGCTTAAAAATCATTTTAGGTATATAAAAGTAAAATTAATTTTTTTCAGCAGTTCCTTTCTATTGCAAAGTTCTTATATTTTTAAAAATTACAAAGAGTATGTTTAATTATATATACAGTGAACTCTTGATATAACGAATTCTAAGATCTGGATATCAACTTCGTTATAAGCTTATAACGAATTTTTTAAAGAATTTAATTGGTTAGTTCACTATAGTAAAGGTAATTTTAATATATTTGATTTAAAAATTCACTATATCAAGAGTTCGCTATATCAAGGTTTGACTGTACACATTTTGTTTTAGGTGTAATTTTTTCAATACTGCTTATAATACCTTAAGCTTTATATAAAATATCCAATTTAAAAATTACATAATACCTATAAGTACTTTAGAAAATACTAAATTTTTATTAGTAAGATATTATAAAAGAAAATATTTTATTATAATGTAATTTGTTAATAACATTCAGAAAAAAAATTTTTTAATTACTATGCAATACTTTTTTAATCAGCTAATACAATTAATAATTAACAAATATGATATAATAAAATATTAAATATTTTTTATTATAATTTACTATATTTATTATATATGGGTAGTGTGCTATTAAAATCGAGATACAAGGCATAGTAAATCATATGATCTGTATCTTAATTTTAATAATACACTATCTATATAAAGATAAATCTATAACTACTTATAACTTTTTGGGATTGTAGAATCTTAATATAAAAATTTATATATAAAAATTTGAAATTAGTTATAAGATTTTAGATTGTAAACTGAATTGCAGCTAATTACAAATTTTTCAAATTAGTTGCAGTATTATTTTTAATTATATATAATTAAATAGTCAGTATATATATATCTAGGTATTATATAAATAATAGTTAAATTATATCTGGATTTTTATATAAATCAAAATTTTTATATCTGATAAAATATTCAAGTTCTTTAAAATGAAATATAGAGAAAATACAAAATCTTTAGATAAATGATAATGCTAAACATTATATAAAATTTTTTAAATTTTTAAATTGTAATAATTTAAAAACTACTATATCAAATTAAATAAAATTTTTTATTTAATATATAAAATCCAAAACTATATATATAATATTTTAATATTTTGTAGAATTATATTTATTAACTATAACAGCAGTGATCTTACAAGACATATTATTGATTAAATTATTATATTTATTTTTATCTAACTTTAACTATTTCTTTTGAAGTATCTATTATAAGTATTCTTAATTTTTGGTAATATTTATATATTCTGATCTGCTATTTAATTCTTATTATAAGTTTTCTATAGAATTCATATTTGAACTTTATACAAGATATAGAATATTTATTATAATTATCATTTTTTTCCATTATTTTGCATAGTTTGCAGTATAAATAGTATAAATAGAAATATTATCTTTTTAAAAAATATAAATTTCTCTATTTTCAAAGTTTATATATAGTAATAAATTATTTTCTAACATAGTAATATATATTTATGCATTTATCCTTTCTTTTAGTTTAACAAAATATTTAAGACCATTTTTCATAAAACAATTTTATATCATAATACTTTCTTATTCTGATTTAAATGCTAGAATAAGTTAGTTTAAATCATGTTTCTTATATTTTTTTTTTCAAATTTATCTTTTTCTTTAAACAATTTGAATCTGAACTCATCACTTTAAATAATATTATCTACTTTTTTTCTAATTTTTATACTTTTAAGTCTATAAAAGTCTATTTTTCTATTAGATTTAATAATAAGAGATTTTTTTACTTCAACTCACTTATAATAATTATGATTATACAAATAACACTTAATAGTCTTAATATATACATTAATAGATCTGTTTCTTTTTTTAAGAACTCTTTTAAAATTATAATTATTTCTATTTTATAAGTAAGATAACATCATGAATAATAGTAATTTTAGGATGATTAAGACCCTCAGCTATTTTGCTTTCGATAATATTACATTTTTAAGTACTGATAATTTCTTCATATTCAAAAACAAAAAGCTCTTTTTTTTTGATAATCATTTTTTTTTTTTAAAAGATTTTAAAATAAACTAAAGCTTTTAAGTGAAACATTTTACAAAAAATAGCTGTATTTTATTTTAATATTAATTAAGAAATGATCTGCCCAAGATATCACCACAACAAAATTTCACCCCACGTGACTTTATAGAATTTTTCTGGGGACGATGCGTCATCTTATTTGTAAAATGGTTAATTTCGGCAAGTTCTATAATGCCGGCCAAAAATTAGTGGGGTGAAAACTGGTGCATGGTACACGATTTTGGTTGTCTAAAAGTGTTATAGCTCTTTGAGTTACAAAATTATTCTTGTATCTGTTTTCACAATACCGGTAATATTTTTCGGTTAAAATTTTAACCTTTACTAATACACTTCTATGCACAATAATTTTATTGTGAATAGAGGATATTCTAACACATTTTTAAAACCTAGTCGATAATGGTATTATTTGTTAAAAAAAAAATTAAAAGAAGTAGTACGTGGGAAAAAAAAGTTTTGGATGTGGGAAGGTGGTTAGTAACTCTTTTATAATTAAAAATTTTTTCGGGTTTTAAATTAAAGACGTCGTAAGGAGACGCAATGATTTTTGTTAAATTGGTGGTGTCGTTAAGTGAGATGGATATCGGATAAAACGGGTTATCGGCCAAATGTTATCAATTAATCAGATTCGGTAAAGAGGCTGTCAGCTAAAAAAGTTACATGCAATTTGACCTATATGCCAAACTGATTTTATTTGCTAAAAAAAAAAAAAAGTATAATTTAAAAAATAAAACGTTACGAGCCCAAAAGGAATCTCAATTGCTGATAAAAATAGTAAATTAAAAAATCTCAATATTTGGATTAAAAAGCTGCAATCCTTTACTCTTATAAACATATGAGTTGTTCTATTAAAACAAGCCTCCCATATAATAAACTAGCTAAATTGTATAATCTATTATCAATATCCGCTTGGTAGTTTTTATCAAGTAAAGTATGTCTTCTATTATATACCAACAATTCGTATCATACCGGTTTCCAACAATTAACGATTGATGTTAGAATAATACCTGTGTATTAGTGCTATTGGCTATTTGAAAAAAAAAAGTCTCCTTTGTTGCAAATTCGTATTTATAAACGGATGACACAATGAGAACTGGGAAGCAATAAATCGTCGGCTATGGGCAGCCGCTGTCGCTGCCCTATAAGTATGGGGCCTTCGACCCTATGGGAAAACCCCCCTCCCTTACCAAGTTAGAATACTGAAATCTGCAAATAATCTAATTTATATTCAGGTTTGCTAATTAGAGGTTGGAACCGGCTTTCTTTTTCACAACTGGCTTTAATCATTTTTTAATTTGAGACCCGGATTTAAATAAAACCGACCGGATATTCGGTTGTAATATTACCGAAAAAACTGAATTGTGATTAGTTCGTGATGCTCTATAAAACATTAACGAAAATATTTTTATTAAAAGAAAAATATTAAGCTAATTACATGTTTAAAATATTAGATAAAAAAAAAATTTAATAATTCGAAAAAGATGTACCATTCGAAGAATAAAATTTTTGAATTTCATTCTATTATAAAGTAAACGTAAAATGTTAAAACTCTTCACATATTAAGGATTAGAAATAATCGGAAGTAACAAAACAAAATTTCGATATGGATGATCGGCTATCGGCTATTAACTTTAATTATGAAAGCAAAATTCATTCCAAAAAGGGAAGGGTGCAGTTATTCTTGTATCACAAATTAAACGAATAATAGTTTCAATAACTGATTTAGATTAGACGTTTTTTATTCTTGGAATTTTTTTTTTTTTTTAATAAAAAAATGTTTTCTTGGCATCGGTCCTCTCATTTATTAATTGATTTATAACTGAAAAAATTTTTTGTTTGTATAGCACAAAATTATCTGTCCAATCTTAATCATACTTCAAATTAACCAAAATAAATAAATAGTATGATTCCTTCTAATTCAAACGCCCAAACCCTTTATTAAGTGCCCATTATTACGTTACGTTCATAAAGAGAACACTATATTTACGTCATACTTTTTATTAAAAATATATCAATATGATGAAACCCTTTCTTATTATTTATATTTATGTAATAATAATTTTTTATGTCGGGAAAGAAAAAAGCGTTGTATTTGCACAATTTGCACAAGATATTTTACATAATTGTAAAAATCCTGACGCTAGCTGTTATAAGTTGAATGTATTATTAAAGCCTTGTTTTTTCAAAATTGATTTTTCTGAACCAATTTTTGGGAAAAAACTCGGTTTAGGTAGCGTATATATGTGCATATACAATTAAATTTTTTATTATTATTTTATAATTAAGTGCTTTATTTATTTATTTCAGACTCTTGGCCATTTTCAAGCTGCATGTGCAGTCAAGAGTTTTATAATGAGCTGGTTTCTTGTGGAAATGCTTGTAATATTCCTGTTGACGAGCCGGTAAAATATGAATCCGATTGTGAAATAGGCAATCATCCAATAAACCTCGGTGGAGGAGGGTATGTATGTTCAAAATTATATTTCCAAAATCGTTTCTCATTTCTCATTTCTCATTCTTCATTTTTACTTTTTTTTACACTCATATATATATAAAAGGAATTCAAATTCAAATGCCAAATCAAATTCAAACAAAAATTCCAATTCCAATTCCAATTCCAATTCAAACACAAATACAAATACAGTTAACGTATATACAAATTCCGGTGCATCAAATCTGTCTTTTAGAACAATTGGAGGTATCTCATTAGGATCACTGATAACATTGGTATTACTTGCTTGAAATAAAATACAGAATGAATAATAATAAAAGGAAAGTCCTCAAATGCCTGTATTCGTACATCGCACTTATCACCCTCATCACACTTTTCATGAGGTCAATTTTGATGAAATTTAAAAAATAACGAGTCATTTCTGATTAAAGTATTATATCTTTATTGAAAAGGAATAATAATTAGAATCAAATAATTTGAGCTCTTTTCTTTTATTAATCAGTATGTAATATTTTTAAATTAATATTTAACAATATTTAGTAAATGAATTCGTGAGTAGATAATTCCGGAAGTCACTTTTAAATATGTTTTGATCCAACTTTAAAATAAACAATTAATTTTGAAAACTTCTATTAAAATAATAAATATCATTAAATACAAAAAAGTAATCGTAGTAAAGGTTGAATCGGAAAATGTTATTAACCTTATAGATCTTTTTTTAAAAAATATAAAAATTAAAATAAATTTCACATTTTTTATTAATAAAATAATAAATTTAACACTGCCCTTTTTTCTTATGAAACCTTAGAAAATTTGCTAGGAGTTGTTGCGCCCTTCTCTTATTTATTTTACTATTTCAATTTTATTATATTTTGTTCTATTTTTTTGGATATTTATGAAACGGGCAGTAAAATCAAGTCATGAGACAAAGTAAATCATATGATCAGTAGAGTGTCCAGGATAGGGTTGATGTGACAGCATTAAAATCGCACGTGATTTTACGATTTTTATCGCGACTATAATTCTTTAGTAAATTGACCAAATTTATTATAGCAAAATAAATGTAAAATATAAAATATAACAATTAACCATCCAAAAAAATTATTTTATTCATTAATAAACAATATTTTCATTAAGATTAATGTAAAGAAAAAGCATTTGGATGTTTTCTTTTTTAAGTGCCACCCTTCTATCTGACAAAATTGTTTTAAAGCTACATTCAACATCAACACCAGACACTGGTAACCAGGGTTGGGAAGTACAGTGTTAGTACAATGATTAGTACAGTTAGTATAGTTAGTACATTATAATAATTAATATAAAAATTAGTACAAGTACAGTACAAGTACAGTGGTAATTTTATCTAGTACATACAAAATTCCCAACCCTGCTGGTAACCATATACACTACCCTATTAAAAGTATCCGGTCAACTAATAAAAATTATATTTAATTATTAAATTTATTTAATTATATTAAATTATAAATAATGCTTATTATATAGTTAACCATCCATTATTTTTAATGCATCTTTGAAAGTTTATGATGATCATTGTTATTCATGAAGCACAGTCTTCTTATCCTTTTCGCTGTTAATCCAGTATTAAAATTTTTGTATTGAAAAATTGTATTGGTAACAGTGCTTTTTGGAATTTTAAGAACACAACCAATAGCTTTATGAGTTCTTCCTCCTTTCCAAAGACCAATAACTTGTTCGCGTTCAAACTCACTCAATTCATAAGTTTTTACCATTTTAAATGATGCAGTAAACCAAAAAAAAATAAAGATCGACTTCAATAAAATTGAATGTTTTGTTATTTTTATTGCCAAATCTGATGTATTTATTGTAATACAATATAAATATATTTATTTTAATCATCAGAACCATGGCATTCATTTAAGATAAAAATATATGCATATTATTATATTAGATCATGAGTAAATCAAAAAGAGCTTGACTGGATATTTTTAATGCTAATGCACTAAGTTCTAGTAATAAATATCTTACTATATCAATATACATTTAAGTCTACAAATTTCTCGTTTAATTCATTGAAACTACAATAAATGGCCTATTCTTAAATCAAATTATCAGTAGGAGAATAAAACTCTTTAATAATGCTATAATCTGTCATATTAACATTTGATATATTAGATTGAATAAATCTTGAATCAAAGCATTGAATTGCTTTAAATAGGAATGATTAAGAGAAATTAATGAAAGAGCATAATATAAAAATTCAAAAAACCAGATCTAAGCATATTATAGATATTATTAAAAGATATAATCAAACCTTAACTGAAAGATTATTTCATTCACAAGATACTTCTAACATATTATCATTACACATGAATAAAAGATCTCAGGCTTCAATAATCTTTCAATAATTACTGATGATATTAATAATTAAGAGACGTGTCTTTTTGATATTGCTTTAGCAGTTGCAATAAAAGAGACAAAGATTATTGCTACGTTTTCCAAGTCTCAAAATAATCCTATGGGATATAATGAAGAATAATTAACTTATAATTTACTTGTAAAATACTTACTTGAGTTGATGAGTTAGATAGTAAAAGAAGATATACTTTAGATATAAATTAATTTCTTAAAGTCTATCATATCTGGGAATCTTTGGTGCAAAAAAATCAGCTAGTTTTATACTGACTAGAAGATGATGAGGGAAATAGTCTAAAAAGATCTTTTGTAGTATAAGAATTAATTGTTATTTTCCTGACATAGAATATTACTGGTCGAAATGGATACAAATCAGCTAAAAATCAGACAGACAATTGATGGATGATTGATAGCCGATTTAGGGCTGATTTAAATTAATTCCAATTAACACAATATGAGTCAATCAGAAATATCAATCAGTCATCAATCAGCTATCTAAAATTGGTCTAAAAACTACTTAAATTTAATCATCAATCAACATAAATCAGCCTAAAATTAGCCAAGCAAATCGGAATTAAAAATAACTAATTTATATTTATTTAAATTTTATTAATTTTATAATTTTATAATTTTATTATTTTTACATAATTATTGTGATTTTTTTAAGAAAAATAAAGAATAATAAAAATCCACTTCAAAAGTCTACTTCAATTGACATATATAAGATTTATTTATAAAAAAATAAAGTAAAAATAAAGAAAAAGTTAAAAAATCCAAACAAAAGTCACCTTCGATTTACTTACAAGATGTAAAATTCCCAAAAAGTCACTAACAATTTGCTTACTTTAATTTCAAAATGTGATATTTCCTAAAAAAAAAATAAGAAAAAGAAAGGAAAATTGTAAATTTTCACCCAAAAAGTCACCAACGATTTGCTTACCTTAATTCCAAAATGAGAAATTTCCTAAAAAATATAAAAAAAAAAGAAAAAGAAAATAGTAAATTTTCACACTAACGATTTGTTTACCTTAATTTCAAGATGTGAAATTTCCTAAAAAAATGAGAAAAAAGTAAAAGAAAATGGTAAATTTTTATCCAAAAAGTAACTAACAATTTGCTTATTTTAATTAAAAATGAGAAATAACTAAAAAAAATAAGAAAAAGAAAGGAAAATGGTAAATTTTCACACAAAAAGTCACTAACGATTTGCTTACCTTAATTTCAAGATGAGAATTTCCTAAAAAAAATAAGAAAAGGAAAATAATAATTTTCACCAAAATTCACCAACGATTTGCTTACCTTAAGAAATTTCCTAAAAAAAATAAGAAAAAGTAAAGAAAATGGTAAATTTTCACCCAAAAAAGTCATCAACAATTTGCTTACCTTAATTTTCAAAATGATAATTTTCCTAAAAAAAAGAAAAAGAAGGGAAAATCTACCTAAAAGTCACTTCTGATTTATATTTCATATTTTCAAAAATGAGAAATTTTTTAAAAGACAAAAAATATAGAACAAAAATTCTGCGCAAAACTTGCTTCCAATTTACTTATCTTATTTCCAAATGAGAATTTTCCTACAAAAATAAGAAAAAAAAAAGGAAAATCCACACAAAAACTTGTTTCCAATTTACTTATCTTATTTCCAAATGAGAATTTTCCTACAAAAATAAGAAAAAAAAAAGGAAAATCCATCCAAAAACTTGTTTCCAATTTACTTATCTTATTTCCAAATGAGAATTTTCTTACAAAAACAAGAAAAAGAAAGGAAAATCTACCCAAAAACTTGTTTCTGATTTACTTATTTTTAAAATGAAAATTTT